ACACGCACACACAAATATACATACATAGACACACAAGCATACATATATTCACATGTACCTTTATGTGTGTATATATGTGAATATGTACATATTTGTGTGTGTTTATATGCATTTGAATTTCCATTAAACAGATCCTTGAATTAAGACCTGGTTTTGTATCACCTTGGTTCTACTTTCTGATTTGACGATGTTGGGCCAATCATGTTTCTAAAATCTTAGTTTCCTGAACTGTCACATGGAGTAAATAATTGGACTGCTAGCCTGTGGTAGCGAAATACTCTAAATGTAAGTAAGTATTGACTTTCACCCTTGCTTCAGTGCAAGCCGCCCTAGATGCTTTGTTGACCCCCCAGTCCTCCAGAGAATAATCTTTTAAACTTTTAAAAACACAGCACCTCAGGCTGGGAAGGTGGCTCAGTGGTAGAGCGCTTGCCTCGCATGCATGAGGCCCCGGGTTCGATTCCTCAGCACCACACAAGCAGAAAAAGCCTGGAAGTGGTGCTGTGGATCAAGTGGTAGAGCACTAGCCTTGAGCTGAAGAGCTGAGGGACAGCGCCCAGGCCCAGAGTTCAAGCCTGTGACCGACAAACAAACAAACAAAAATCTTCACAAAAATGTAAATTATCTACAACTTGAATATTTAAAAAAAATAATATTGAATGAAACACAGCACCTTATTCACATGCTAAAACACCATTCCTGACCGTAGCTTCTCCAGAGGAGGCTGAGATCTGAGGACTGTGGTTCAAAGCCAGCCCAGACAGGAAAGTGCATGAGACATTTACCTCCAAAAAGAGTCAGAAGTAGACTCGAGAGTCAAGTGGTCGTGTGCCAGTCTTAAGCGTAAAGCTAAGTAAGAACCTCAGATCTTGAGTTCAAGCCCTAGTACTGGCAAAAAAAAAAAAACCCAAAACAACAGCAACAAAAATAAAACCCACAATTGTATGTGTTTCCTACACCTCATTTTAGAAATGCGTTCGTCAGGGGACAACTATTCTCTCTTTCACTTCATAAATTCTGAAGCTGGCGCTTGCCTAATGGCGATATCTTTCACTTAGTTCATTCACAAATTAGTGAGCAGGTGCATTGTAAATACCCGGATTCTGCCACTGGGTCTTTTCCTTTTCTAACCATGAATTTCCTGGGCAATATTTTACTGCTTTTTGAGAAGCTGGATCACTTCTATATGTCTGCTGGGTGTTGATGGCTGGGCCGTCACTCTTTAGCATTGCATTAGGGAAAAGGGGGAACAAAAAAATAAAAGAAGAAGACAGATCAGCCACTAGGGAACTCGATGTGGGCCTCCTGGAGCTAGTTATTGACAAATGGGCACTCACCCCTGCCCCCTTCCCCGGAGCCCTCACCCCTACCTGCCACTGGCCCGGCTTACTAGAGTCACCGCTCAGAGTCTGAACTGTCCAGTACCACCTCCACCCTCCACCGTCAAAGCAAAATGAACCACCTCTCCTGGTCAACCGGCTCTCACTAAACTGGGCAGAAATGGGAGCTGAAAACACACATTGCTTACCATAGAAGGAGAATGATAAAGGATTCTTGCGTTTGGATCTCGTAGTTGCTATTCCTATGCATGTAGCATCCTGGGATGTTGATTTATTCTTTCACACCACTAGTGGGGTTAGTGACTGTTTTTTTTTTAACTTCCTAGAATGCTTTAATAGATGAGAGGGAGGGAGGGACAGACAGACAGACAGACGAGAGACAAAGAAAGAGAAAGAAACCAAAAGACAAAAAATAGAGGAGGGACAGAGAAAGAGCCCAGAGAGACAGAAAGTCGAGACAGACAGACCAGGAGGGAATCCTGGAAGTGGCAAAGACTTTTGAGTTCCAAGCCTGGAACCCGGCTCCATCTGGGGGAAAACCACCGTGTCTTCCTTAACTCCGGTTCCTTAAGCAGTCAGACATGTATGGGTCCTTGGAAGATTCTGGAGGGAAGCATGATGCCACATCATGTGATGCCACATCAGGCTTCTGGCCGGGGCCGAGACTCCGCCTTCAAAAAATAACGGCTTGCCCTGTCATTTACCTGCGGATAAGTGTCAGGAATTTGTGGAGAAAAGAAATTAACCCACGCCTTTAATTCTTCTTATGCAATGCCAACCCAGTCTCTTCTTACCTTGTATTGTGTGTCCTCCCCCCTCCTCAAATCTGTAACACAGATGTGTTGATATACTTTAGGTCTTTAGGTTGGTTACTGCGCTAAAATAAGAGGACATGGGCTAAAAACAAAATAAACCTTTAAAAGAATTGTAGCCGAGTTCCTGGAACCCAAGCTGTTCAAGAAATACCTGTACATCTTAGTTGACTATACATAGCCCGCCCAGCGTTAACATCTTCCTTGATCACAGAGATGACAGTCTTCGGGAGTTAGGCCCTGCTGCGATGCTCCATTTGTAAAACAACTTGGTCTTGGAGAAGTTATTCATTCCCTGTCTCATAATCCAGGAGCCTCTGGTTACGCTAGTTCATAAAAGAGGCCAAAACCGTTCAGCAATCGGGTGACTGTTTCTTTAACTCTGCAACTTTAGACAGAAGACTTCTGTTTCTTTGTGAGTTTCACTACAGTGAATATTTTGTCTAGCTGCTGGGGAAAGTCTTTGTTCTGGGCTTGGTAGACAATGGTCTTCAAAGTAAAATGGTCTGCTTTGGGGCCTGAGAGTTCAGGGGCCCATTGTACGCGCACAATGGGTTTCTGTAGCCCGCATTCCTGCTTTCCAAAGGTGTGTTAGCTTTTAATGACGGACACTTTTCTATGGCAAACCGCTCTGTTGGCTGAGTTCTGTTTACATGCTACTCAGGAATTTTTGTAGAGGGCTAAGGAGGAAAAAAAAAAAGAAAGTGTATATTTTTTTTCTTTGACCTCTGATAAGTTTAAGAAGTGATTTGGCGTATGCCGCTTACCGAGAATGGAATAGAAATGTGGGAAACCCTGGCAGAAGTTACTTTAAACTTATTATGAAAGCCATCAGTAGGCTTGAGCTATTGATTTCCACGCAGAGATCTCTCCTCTGTGTTCTTGCTCTCCAGAATTACCAAATTGGTTCCCAAACAATGAGGGGTGCAAAAGGGATGTTTTAGGAAAAAGTAAAAGTAAATTCTTTATGTGTGTGTGTATGTGTATGTGTGTATGTGTGTGTGTGTGTGTGTGTGTGTGTGTGTGTATGTATATATATATATAGTTATTGTAAAGTTGATGTACAGAAGGGGTTATCATTACGTAAGTCAGATAATGAGAACATTTCCTTTTGGACAATGTCACCCCAGTTTTTTTCCTTCCTGTCCTCATCCACAAGTGATAGAGTTCATTTTCCAAACAGTGTCCAGTGAGGACCACAGCTGCATTTCTACATCTTTGTCCCTCCGTTTCTGCCCCCTCATCTTCTCCCAGACACAGACACTTAAAACCAAGACAAAAGGTACAGAAAAGGAAAACAGCAACAAAGATTTAAAACAACAACCACTCTTGTTTGCCTGTCTTAGAGTTCATTTGGCTAACCACTATTTCATATGCTCCTGTGCTCTTAGCTCTAGAGCCTTTTTGATCTCACGGTGTGAATGTCTAGAGCCCTGTATACTTTGTCATGTCCCAGTGTATTTGTTGTCTAGTAAAAGTACATTCTTTACTCTTCCCTTTCCCCCTCCCAATTCAAAAATATAGATATGTATTTTGACTGCAAGAAGTGTTTCACTTTGGAGAGAAATTTGAATCTGTGCTTTGGTCAAAACCTCACCCAGACTTTGTGGTTGGCTGTAATTTGAGTCCCTGGGGAAGGGGAGAAAATAAAAAAGTATTTGACATTAGCCGAAGGTGATGATGAGGACTCTTTCAGATGAACTTGTCTGTCAGGGGAAACTAACCAGATTCTAATAACGTTATGGTCTTTCTCTGTGGGACAGAAGGTCCCTTTGATAAGTTAACTTTATGTCTCCAGCAGGGGGTAAACAAATGCCTGAGCAGACACAAATACACATAAACACCAGTGTGGAGAAAGGCAGTACATGTCTTCCATCCAGATAATAAGTGTGGGCATTGTTATTTAGATGCGGCATACTGGGATACTTATCTTCTAGAACATTCTATTTTCTGACTGAATGCTGGGGCTAATCGTGGGATTGCAAACCATTGTAATTGTGTACACATCTAAATGCCGACAAGAATAGCCAATTACATCGTGGAGAACTGACTTTGCTGTTTGGGAGTTTTATTAGCATTTATATTTACTTATACATTAAATTCCACACAATAGGAGAGGTCGCCAACCAAGAGATAGACAGAAACAAACACCACACTAAAGCACAAAAATGTGTGCGCCCTACCCCAATACCAGGCTTTTGGGGGGAAGGAAGCCTATGATGTGAACCAGAAATAAGCAAATAATAGGTTTCCATGATAAGTATTACTTCTTTAGATTTTACAGTCTTTTCCAAGCTTCTTTTATATCAAATTTTTTTTTATTTTAATGTTCACAACGCTGGCAAATCTTGCCACCGTGTGCTCTCCCACCATGAGATGTTAAACACACATTATAAAGTGCATGTAATTGTACACATAACACACACAGGGGTATAATTACAATGCGCAGATTTAAGAGCTAATTCTTTGCCTTTATTTCATTTTTTTTCTCACTCTGCATTTTATCGACGTCATTATTTTTTGATGGCAGACTAACCGCCCTGACATTGACAGACATCCAGGAGGAATCTGTTTACCAAATCGAAAAGGAAAATTAAAAAAAAAATTGGACCACAGGCCTATGCCCTCCACATTGCCATAAAGAATTAGTAGAGCTTTGTTCTGCACAAGGAAAAGGCTAATAATTCTGGAAATAGGAGGTGACAAAACACCTTCCTTTCCCCCACCCTTATTATCAGCGTGGATGGCTTCCTTCCGGACGGCCCTGGCCAGGGTCGGCTTTGTTGAGTGGACATTGGAAAGAGGTTGAGTTGTTCATACGTTGTTTTGTTTTGTTTTCCCCACTTAGAGACACCTAGTATCGAAAAGCTACTCTCAAAGGACTGGAAAGACAAGCTTCTTGCAATGGGATCAGGGAACTTTGGAGAAATCAAAGGTAACGCACGCATGATTATTTTGATTTAAACGTACAGACAGGAAGTTGAGAGTTAGAAAGGACACTGAGGAAAAGTATTTCTACCATCTCTTCTGCACTTCTGGTAGAAACTGTGTTCAGTTTTCTTTCTAAGGAAGAATGGAATGCAATGTGTGTGTTTGTTTGTGTTGTTTTTTTGCTTTTGTTTTTTATTTTGGCCATGAGTCTTGAACTCAGAGCCTGGGTACTGTCTCTGAGCAATTTTGTTCAAGACTAGTGCTCTACCACTTTGAACCACAGCTCCACTTCCAATTTTCAGGTGGTTCATTGGAGATGAGAGTCTCATGGACTTTCCTGCCCAGGCTGGCCTTGAACAGAGAGCCTCAGATCTCAGCCTCCTGAGTAGCTAAAATTATAGTCATGAGCCACTGGTATGTGGCTGTTTTTAATCTCTTTGTGCTGGGTTTGGGGCTTGAACTCAGTGCCTGGGAGCTCTCCTTGAAGGCTTTTTTTGTTTTTGTTTTTTAATTTTCTCCTCAAGACTAGCCCTCTACCATTACAGCCATAGGTCTACTTTGGGCTTTTTGGATGACGACTTGGAAATACGAGTCTCACAGAATTTCCTGTCCAGGCTGGCTTCAAACTGTAACCTTACATCTTAGGCTCCTGAGTAGCCACTATTAGTGTAGAGCTAATGGTAGATATATAGATAGATAGATAGATAGATAGATAGATATAGATATGTATATTTAATTTAATATTGGAACTTCATTATATCTTTAACATGCTTTAGCTTACTTTGTTATTATTTTACTTTTTTCCTCCTAGTCCTGAGGCTTGAACTCAGGGCCTGGGTGCTGTCCCTGAGCTCCTTTGCTCAAGGCTAGCGCTCTCCCACTTTGAGCCACAGCTCCACTTAACAGTTTTCTGGTGGTTCATTGGAGATCAGAGTCTCATGGACTTTTCCCTGCTTGGGCTGGCTTTGAATTGCAGTCCTCAGACCTCAGCCTCCTGAGTGGCTAGGATGGCAGGTGTGAGCCACTGGCACCCGGCTGCAATGTGATTCGTTTGTCGTTGATGTTGTTCCTTTATTTAGTTTAATTTAAATCTACCACCACAGAAGACTAAGAGAAAATCTTTATGGAATATAGAGATTGACTACCCAAACCTGAAATTGCTGGGAATTGGGGGGGGGAGGGGGGAGGATTGGGGAGGATGCAGGAAAAAGGTAAATTTCTTCTTACAGAAATAAAAGCACAGGGGCTGGGAAAGTGGCTGAGGCCCTGGGTTCGATTCCTCAGCACCACATAAGCAGAAAAAGCTGGAAGTGGTGCTGTGGCTCAAGTGGTAGAGCACTATCCTTGAGCTGAAGAGCTGAGGGACAGCGCCCAGGCCCAGAGTTCAGGCCCCACGACCAGCAAAAAATAAATAAATAAATAAATAAATAAATAAAAGCACGGGGCTGCGAAGGTGGCTCAGTGGTAGAGCGCTTGCCTTGCATGCCCAAGGCCCTTGGTTCGATTCTTCAGCACCACATAAGCAGAGAAAGCCAGAAGTGGCGCTGTGGCTCAAGTGGTAGAGCGCTAGCCTTGAGCTGAGGAGCTGAGGGACAGCGCCCAGGCCCAGGGTTCAAGCCCCAAGACTGACCAAAAAAAAAAAGAAAGAAAAAAAGAAAGAAAGAACGAACGAAAAGCATATTGTCCTTTCAACTCATGTAAAGGCATTTTTTCCCTCAGAGCATTATCAGCAGTTGACATTTCTTATTTGTTACTATTAAGGATCCTTAAGAGTGTGCATTCTAAGTTGGGCTTCATTTTGAGACAGTTAATGTACGTGGTCCTTACCACCGATGTACGTGATGTATGACTGTGTACGTTTTTGGTGGATACCCATTACACCCATCTCACACACTGCCGGATTTCTTCTCATGGGCATGCAGAAGTGGGCTCTTTTTGCACATGTGTGTCTGCACACGTTTTCCTAGAGAGCTGAGGGCTTGTCTTCTAAGTGAGCGAGGACATCGGCCTAACTTAGAACCCAGAGAGAGGTAACACCCGTCTTGTCAAATATTTGACCTACGTGACATCTCTGCTTTTTGGAAATTTGGAAAGTTCCAGAACACATGGCACTATTTCCCTGCCTCCATCAAAGCATTTGGAATTAACATAGCTGTAGGCCACGATTCATCAACCAAGGAGGATTAAGAAAACATCACTAGTTACCCAGAAGTCATAGATGAGGACCGAAGTTCACGGCCAGCCAGGGCAGGAAAGTCCATGAGGCTCTTCAGCAAAACACACTGGAAGTGGAGATGTGTGCGGCCCCAGTGGTAGAACACTAGCCTTGAGCAGAAAAAATCCAAACGAGAGCTTGAGGCCCTGAGTTCAAGTCCCAGTACTGGCATTAGAGAGGGAGAGGGAGGGAGGGAAGGAAAAAGGGAGAGAAAGAGGGAGGGAATATATGGTTCTAATCAAATACACCAATGAAAATCGATCATGGAATAAAATTTAAATGGCAAATGTTTTTCTTGGAAGGGAAGGACAGAGCCCAAGGAGAAAGCGATCTTTAGTTTTCAGAGCGAGAAGGTCTCTGTATCCCTCTGCATTCTGATGGGTCTTGATCCATTTCACCTGAGGATAATAGCGCTCTTCTTACTCTACTGACCCGCCTAGAGAATGAGGGAGAGCAGAGTGGAGAGTGGAGCACCAGCTCCAAGCCTCCTCACCTCTCTTCTTTGGAGGACAAACTGACAAACTAACTCGTTCTCCCTCCTCCTCCATTTCCATCACAAGTTACACTTAAAAGCAGCAGCAGCAGCAGCAGCAGCAGCAGCAGCAGCAGCAGCAGCAGCAGTGGCCACAGCAAGGGGAGGGGGGGTGTAAACCAGACTCAGCCGTCCTTCAAGGCCTGCCCTTCATTGAGGGAGTCACAGCCACCCACAAAGGAAGGTTCTGTGCTTCACTTTCAGGGTTTTTCTTGTTCTTTGAGGGCTTCCTTTCCAGAGCCCAAGTTGGGTGATTGGCCTCTGGTTCTGTGCGAAAAGCTGTTTTCCGATGTATTTTAAAAGCAGCTCTAGAACACACACACATTCTGTGTGTGTGTGTGTGTGTGTGTGTTTGTGTCTGGTTTCTGTCTCTTTGTAACTCTCTTGTCTGTCTCTCTCTCTGTCTCTGTCTCTGTCTCTCTGTCTCTCTCTGTCTATCTCTATCTCCCCCCCCCTTTTCTGTTGTTACAGGCGCTCGGGCTTGGCAGTAAACTGGGGGAAACTTTACTTTTGCAGCTGCTTGCAGGCCAGTTGAGGTCCCTCCCCACTGTGCACAGGTGGTCAGAGAGGGCACAGGGCGAGGCTGCCCTCTGGGGGTGAGAGGATTGGCAGAAGCGGCTCTGAGGGAGAGGAGGGCAGGCAGGAGGATCCAGGGAGCCCAGGAAGTCAGGCAGAACAGCGGCTTAGCTGCGACGCCAGCTTCTTGTTTCTTAATGAAACCAATGTAAGTGGCGTACATGCAATGCAGGAACTTCGTTTTGCATGGGAGAGAGAAGGATGGCTCTATGCTGCTTTATATACATACATATAAATACACACACACACATATATATATACACATATACATATACATAGGAACTCACTGAATCATCAGTTGCTGGAGCCATGAGGACCCTGGAAAACGATGCATTCAGATAGAAGCTTGGCGTGCGTTAGGAAGCTGGTAGCCCTGATAATATTTGTAGGGTCTTCTGGGGGATCGAAACTTTGGTCTTTACTTTGTAACTAAAATGAATGGAAAGAAGGAAGGGAAAGAAAAGGGGAAAGAGACAGAGTCAGAGAAAAAGGAGATCCCTTTCTCAACCATTTAAATGGCTGCCAAGTGAAGGCACAATTCACTTGGCAGTCATTTAAATACTCCAGTACTCCCTGAGTATTTAATAAACCTATACCCTTAAAGCCTGGTGTTAAGTAACACCGATAACACGGCTTTCAAGCTAATTTGAAAAATATTAGACTCACAACTTGAAAGGGTTTGGAGAAGTGTTTTTCTTACTCTCAGTGTTCACAAAGCAAAAAGGATGTCTTGGAGCATGACTCAGGGGGTAGAGCACCTATCTAAACCTTAGTTTAATTCATAGCCCTGGAGATTACTTTCAGCCTTTTTCCCTATGAATATATGAGGTGGGGAAGGGTCTGTGTGTGTGTGTGTGTGCGCGCGTGTGCATGCGTGTGTGTGCACATTAATATAAACATTTTTTCTACCCAACTCTTTCACCCAGCTTTGTATCATGAACAAGATCCAAAACCTTAAACTGTTCTTCAAATGCAACTTTTTCATGGCTTTAAAACAATTCTCCTTTATGAAAGTCCCGTCTCTGTCTGATCATTCCTAGCTGATGAGCAGAGTGCTTCATTTCTCATTGAAAGTACTTACTAGTATTTCCCTATCTTCCTCCTTGTTTTCTGGGGCTAGGTTTGTAAAAGCAAGTTATACTGTTTCTTCTTCTTCCTCGTGTTCATCAACACAGTAGTTTACTTCCATATCATATGAGTATTTTCATTGATGGTACTCAGATTACCGACTATTAAGAAATAATACCTGTTAGCTAATTATTCTGAAGATATATTCCTCCGTGCCTCTGGAATCCAAATATCTGAGATTTATTAAATCCTGAGTAACCATCGATTGGCCCCAGGATGTACTGTTGCACGGGACCTCAGTCGCAAGAAACAGAGCAGCCACATTTTAAGAGCTTGAATCTGTCGCTCCGCAAGTACACTTAGCACTGTGGGAGAACTGAGCCATGACAGCAGAAGAGGAAAGAAAGAGCAGGAAGACGATTCCAACAAACCAGATCAACGTCCAAGGAGAGCTGAAGTGGGAACCAGAGAAGAGCCAGGAGCCGGGAGGCAGGAGGCGTGCTGTTACGGCACCTGAGTTGGTCCAGGCCGAAGTCTGGTCCGGGCCCGGGGGGCAGGTTCACTGGAAGCTGGAGAGTCTGGAGAGCTCAGACCACAGAAGTGACAGGTCCAGTAACCTATCATCCAAGGCCTGCCTGTCACCCAGGGGTGGAACTGCCCTGTCTCCACCATGAAAACAAGATGGCGCCCGTGAAGTCCAATTCCCTATCGTCCACCACCTGGCCAAGATGGCACTGGTGAGAGCCAGTAGCCTTTAACGACTGATAATAAGAAAGAGCACAATGGATGAATCTTTTTTTTTTAATATTCACACAACATTTTATTCTGGATGTCTATTTATTAGAAACACATGAAATTATTATTATTATTATTAACTTAGAAACTTCATTTCCATCCCAAATAGGCACAGGGAAAATACAAGCCACAAACAGTAGCTAATACTTCCTCCCGAGTCATATATGAAGACTGCGGGGAGATGGGGAGGAGACCGAGCGATAGCACCTCGTTTTACCTAATGATGCATACAGGTGGCAAATGCATTATTAAAACAGCGCTTTGTATCTTACGTTTGAAGTGAAAATTGTAATTAACAAACACGCTCTCTCCCGCTGCTCAGGCTATACCAGAGGGCTCACATCTACCCCGTGGGTTTTAAAAGAACAATTGAAAGTGGTGCTAGTTCTATCTCCCTGCACTGCACACACGCCTGATCCATCAAATAAGTATTTTAACCTCTCTTAAGACCCTTCGGCGTGTTTTAAGTATCATGGACCTAGGATATCTTTTCCTTTTTAATTAATTATCTTTTAGTATCATCGAGTCATGTACACAGGAGTTTCAATTCAGCGTGTCGGCTGATGAGGACAATGCCTCTTGATACATGTCACCCCTTCCATCGTTCACCCCTCCCTCCCCTCCCCTCTCCTCCCCTCCTTTCCCCTCCCCACGTCACCCGGCTGGTTCCACGGTTCCCTATGGGCATTGAATATGATGGCTGTATTTGCCCACTCTCTCCCTCAGTGGGCGCTCTGATTTCTTTTCCAGATCTTAGATATAGGTATAATTTGGGGGGGGGACTATAAGCGATGCTCATTTTTCACCCACATTTCAGTATTTCAGGGAAGCCTATTGTGTTCTCAAACCTGAATGTCTGTTTCCTGAATCCTCTGTGAGTTGTGCATTAACGATTTTAACTTGATCGACCTTCCCCATCACCCATCTGCTGAGTGTGTGTGTGTGTGTGTGTGTGTGTGTGTGTGTGTGTGTGTGTGTGTGTTTGTTGCTGGGGACTCAACCCAGGGCCTTTACATTCACTAACAAGTACATACTCTCCAAATAAACTTCACCCCCGGACCCAAGCATTTTCCCCTTTGTTAACCTTAACACAGGATCTCTTAGAGTTGAATCTTTAGGATAGTTTTTTAGTGAAGGGGAAAACTTATCATTGCTAATGGCTTTGTGTCTTAGTAATTATGGGTTTTAAGTTTTCCTGTCTTTGCCTGTTTAATTAGATGAAAAAGTAAAGTCCAGAAACGGTGCCTTACTTAGACATCATTTTTATCCTCCATAGGTCCAGCATGGAGCTTGAAAACAATAGATATAGCCAGGCAATTGGTAGCTCACGCTTGTAATCCCAGCTACTCAGGAGGCTGAGATCTGAGGATCATGGTTCAAAGCCAGCCTGGGCAACAAACTCTGTGAGACTCTGATCTCCAATGAACCACCAGCAAACCAGAAGTGGAGCTGTGGCTCAAGTGGTAGAGCGCTAACCTTGAGCTGAAGAGCTGAGGGACAGTGCCCAGGCCCTGAGTTCAGGCCCCATGAGAGACAAAACAAAAAACGCAAAAAGATTGAAAATATTTAATGAGCCAGTCCACCAAGGAACTCATTTCTGGGGCACAGTTCCTGAGCTTTTTTTGGTTTTTGTTTTTTTTTTTCTCAATGCTAGCACGCTACCACTTGAGCCACACCCCCATTCTGGATTGTTGCTGGTCAATTCCAACTACAGAGTCTCATGGGCTCTTCCTGCCCAGGCTGGCTTCGAACTGCCATCCCTAGTCAGATCTCAGCCTCCTGAGTAGCTGGGATTAGAGACCTCAGCCACCGGTGCTCTGCAGACCAGGGTCGTGTGTGTGTGTGTGTGTGTGTGTGTGTGTGGTTCGAATTTGCATCATGACAAGTTCTTGTTTCTCTTATGCGTCCTCTCTCTCTCTGTGTGCCATTGTGCAGGGACTCCGGAAAGCCTGGCGGAGAAGGAGCGGCAGCTCATGGGTATGATCAACCAGCTGACCAGCCTGCGCGAGCAGCTGCTGGCCGCCCACGACGAGCAGAAGAAGCTCGCTGCGTCCCAGATTGAGAAGCAGCGCCAGCAGATGGAGCTTGCCAAGCAGCAGCAAGAACAGGTGAGCAGGGCCACGGCCGGGCCGGCCCGAGAGTCAGAGGAGACGCGTCGGCTCTCCTGTGTGGAAAGTGGACATAGGTCCCAAACATGCGTGGGAGCAGACAGAGGGGCCCCCAGGGACACAGGCACGCAGGTAGGAGCTGCAGTGTGGCATCCGCAGGGGAGGATTCCCACCGTGTCACTTTTTTGGGAACAACTAACATACACCTTGAAGCTAGAGCTTGTGCTGTGGGAGCCGAGGGTTAAGTTCAAAGGGAGCAAAAGGCAGGGGAATGGAAGGAAGAAGAGCGGGAAAATGAAATCATCATATCCATAGGTGAACATGGAGCTGGGGGACTTGAAGGGAGGGGTAGAGTGGGGGAGAGGCGGGGGAGGAGGATGGAAGGAGGGACGTGGGTCAGCGTGCGTTGGGCTCATAAACCGGCACCTCCAGGTGAAGCCCATTTGGATAAGTTCTTAAAGATAATAGAAGAAGTGAGAATTAAAGAGAGCAAGGGCTGGGCAGGTGGCTCAGTGGTAGAGTGCTTACCTTGCATGCATGAGGCCCTGGGTTCAATTCCTCAGTACCACATAAGCAGAAAAAGCTGGAAGTGGCACTGTGGCTCAAGTGGTAGAGCGCTAGCCTTGAGCTGAAGAGCTGAGGGACAGCGCCCAGGCCCAGAGTTCAAGCCCCACAACTGACAAAAAACAAAAAACAAGACAGTTAAGCAAGAAAAGGGTGCAGTCCCTTGTCTTAGACATTACTTTGCTGGCTATTTGTCAATCCATCACACACACACACACACACACACACACACACACGCACATACAGCTTCATGGGTAAATTCAGTGGGAAGATGGCAGCAAAGGTTGAGCATTCCTAATCAGAACCCCTGAAATCTGAAATGCTCCAAAACACGCAACCTTTGCAGTGCTGGCTGGCAGGCCACGGGTCAGCTCCCCCACAGCGTGACATTTCCTCACGGGCCCAACCCCAGTCACAACCAGGTACCAGTGAGTCACACGCCTGTCATCACCTGTCGGCACTCAGGATCCAGGTTCAAAGCCAGGCTGGACAGAAAAGCCTGTGAGGCTCGTAACTCCAGTTAACCTTCAAAAAGTTGAAATGCAGCTATGGGTCAAGTGGTAGAGCATCAGCCTTGAAGGAAAAAAGCTGAGGAAGAGCATGAGGCCCTAAATAACTAACTCAGTAAAACCTAGGCATGCTGGAAATGCTGTCTGAAATTATCATAAAGCTCTGTGCATTAAACATATAAGAAACACCCATGAATCACATGCTTTGACTTGGGTCCTCTTTCCCAAATATTTTACCGTGTATGTACAAATAGCCCCAAAGCCAACAGTATCAGAAATCCAAATCACTGCTGGTCCTAAACATCTCGGGTAGAGGATATTCAATTTACAATTATAGCCAGGGAATTCCAATAGGCGATAAAAGTGGAACATAGACAGAATCTTGGAGAGCCAAGAAAACCCTTCCAATCAGGAGACACTTGAGCGAAGATTTGGAGAACAGGCAGCCTTAAACAAAGGAAACGACTTGGGAAGAAGAATGTTCAGTGAAGATGCTATTAATCATCTAAATAGAAAGCTATTAGAATGGCTGAAACAATTTAACTGGGGAGGAGCCCGCGTTGATAGAGTTTAATTCTAAATGAGGTAGGATAATGATCAGGGACAGAGAAAGACAAGGGGAGAGTTATAAGCATTTATCGTTCTGTGTGTGTATGTGTGTGTGTGTGAGAGAGAGAGAGAGACAGACAGACAGACAGAGAGACAGAGAGACAAAAAGACAGAGACACAAAAAGACAGAGAGAGGGAGTGTGCTAGGGCTCGAACTCAGGACCTGAGTGCTATCTTTTGCTCAAGACTGGTGCTCTACCACTTGAGCTGCAGTGCCACTTCCAGCTTATCATCAGAGATAAGAATCTCATGGACTTTCTTGCCCAAGCTCGTTTGAGCTTTGATCCTCAGATCTCAGCCTCCTGAATAGTGAGTCCTGAGCCATTGGTGCTCTACTTGTTCATTTTACTCTCCTTTACTTAGGGGGGCTTCTCTGCTTGAAAGGTAATTTTTGTTGTTGTTCAAAGCAAGGTCTTGTTATGTTGCTCAGGTTGGACTCAAAGCTACAACAGCTCCTTCCTTAGCTTCTTGAGTACTGAGATTACAGAAATGAACTACCGTACTCTGTATGTTCTTACTTTTACTGAAATGTATTTGTTCTATTATTTGTTCTATTGTTTTTACTTTTTTGTTATTTTATTTTTACTTCTACAGAAATGTATTTGTTCTATTATTATTTGTTCTATTATTTTTACTTTTTAAAATTATTTTATTGTTACTTTTACTGAAATGTATTTGTTCTATTATTATTTGTTCTATTATTTTTACTTTTTTATTTTATTTTTATGTTTTTTTTATTGTTCTGTTGTTTTTACTTTCTTATTTTATTTTTACTTCTACTGAAATGTATTTGTTCTATTATTAGAGACAACCCGTATTCTTCTTGTGTGAGTCCCAGGATGAGTGTAGTTAGCACAGAGTGACATTGCTCTCTGCAAGGACTCTGAGGGCCTCTGGGAACGTAGCTCCAGGGGAGACTACTGCTTGGTAGAGAACCCCGAGATTCCTTGGTGAGTGTGTGTGGCGCACTTGTCCTGAAAGGCTTTTAAACCATCTCTTAATGGAGAGGAAGTTTCTTTTCTCTCTCGACTTCACGGTTTCTGGCCGACCCCCACATGGCACGGCGAGGATTCTAGAACGTTCTGGCTTTCTCAAGCCCTCTCGCCTCCACCTTAGAAACGTAGGAACCTGCTGCCCTTCCACGGGTCTCTCCTGAGTCAGAGGGAGGCCTGGCGGTGCTCACCCCCACCCCTGGAGAGGAGGCCTCTCTGGAACCACCTCCAGGTCGGCTCTGCAGAGACCCTGCCCTCCATCCCAGCTCCAGGTCAGCTCTGCAGAGACCCTGCCCTCCATCCCAGCTCCAGGTCAGCTCTGCAGAGACCCTGCCCCTCCATCCCAGCTCCAGGTCAGCTCTGCAGAGACCCTGCCCTCCATCCCAGCTCCAGGTCAGCTCTGCAGAGACCCTGCCCTCCATCCCAGCTCCAGGTCAGCTCTGCAGAGACCCTGCCCCTCCATCCCAGCTCCCCCCCACGGTAAGCCCACAGGGGGTGGGGGGTGCCTTCACGCTGATGACAGACATAGGTGTGAGGTATGATCGGGACTGTATCCTAAAATTCAGGTCCGCTTCCCGTTTAGTAGGCCTTTCTCCTCTCACTGTCTCCCTAGAAGCCGCTGCTCTCGGTTAGCAGATTCACCTGCCCTCTGACCACCAGCACATGCACCGAGCCTTCCGCCTTTCCTCCAGATGCCCCCCCCTTCCGACAGTATGGGGGTTTGAACTCGGGGCCTTACTCTTGGCCGTGCGTCCCAGCCCTTACCCTACCCTTACTTGTTTGTTTGTTTCTTTCGCTGAAGTCTGGGTTTTTGTTTTTTGTTTCAGCTAGAGTCTCATGCATCTTTGCCCAAGCGGGCCTGAGATGTGGATCTCTCTGTCTCCACCCCCAATGTAGGTGTGAGCCAAGACGCCTGGCTGGTTTGTGGAGACGCCATTTTCATAACTTTCTTTTTCCTAACCTTTCGCTGTGATCTCCCACGTCTACCTGGAAAGTAGCTGGGCTTATAGGGATGAGCCACCACACCCAGCGGTAGGAGATTATGTCTGAGCTCTACTCCATGTCCATCTCTTCAACAAGGACGTGTTGAACATGGATTTGATGCTGGATTCCATCCTACTTACAGGAAGTGTAGCAGGGTATAAAAATCCCCTCCATGTTAGCGTGTTGGGGGAGAGCTAGGTAAATTAATCGGGACACTGTGGTACATGTTGTGAAGTATTCATGGGGAGCACCAAGCAGGACACTGGAGAGGAGGGCGTCCGAGGGAGATGAGCAGCTTTAAACCTATGTGTTCAAGGAAAACCTCAGTGACCTGATCATACCCAAACAGAACCTTCTAGAAGGCTGCGCCCCTCCCCCCCAGTCACACTATTCCAGATGGAAGGAAGAACAAGCAGGCGCAGGGGCACAGAGTGAATCCTCGGGCAGCTTTATGAAAGACGAAGGGAAGAGTGGGTTGACAAAGCCAGCGAGGCAGGGAGACCAAGCCCTTTAGACTTTAACTGAGTGAGACACAAAGGGCCCCATCTCCATTTATTCACTTGTTTGTTTGCCGGTCCTGGGACTTGAACTCAGGGCCTGGGCACTGTCCCTGAACTCCTTTCGCTCAAGGCTGGCGCCCTACCACGTTGAGCCACAGCACCATTTCTGGTTTTCTGGTGGCTCATGGGAGATCAGGGTCTCAAGGGCTTTCCTGCCCCGGGCTGTCTTTGAACCGGGAGAGGATGACAGTCATGAGCTACGAGCACTGGGCAGGCATTGTAACTTGAAAGGAACTCTGCGCATGCTGACTTGGGGTAGGCTGTTGAGAACGAGGAGGGAGGGATAGGGACAAATCGTCCAGGGAAGTGACTGGCCCCAAGCAAAAGCAAGCGCCGAGAGTTGGGATCCGTACTTGCTAGCTTCTCCAGCTAGTGCTGAAAGGACTTTTGCAAGTTTCATGAGTGGAAGGACAGAACTAGGCATAATGGATACTATTCCTCCACCTGCGAAGGTTCATTTCGCAGCATTTCAAAGGCCAAATGAAAGTATTACAATCATACAGTTGTACCATTGCTCACAAGAGAATGAACTTCCCGCAGTCAGCTAGACGGCTCTCCTACTTTTAGTCCTAGTCATGTGTCTGTTTATTTCCTGATTACTCAGCTTTCAGAAGGTCAAGGTGATGCTCTTGTGAGGGAAGTGATAGAGATGGTTCTCATTTATTGTTGGGAACGCAATCCAGAACTGTGTTTAACCAAGGAGATCAGAATGTGATCTAGAGCTACTCATGACCATGTGGACGTTTCCTAGAGAGGTTAGACATTTTACATCCTTCTGAGCAGTTTATTTACCTTCTATCATGCAATAAAGCATTTAAAATTCTCTTCCAATCTATGAATTCTTACCTTCTTACCAAATGTTCAATTTCTTCCCATACCATCTCTGAATCAACATGAATGAAACGTACATACTCCTTCTGCTTAACTTTAAAACACATGTGGACTTCTTTCTCAGAGACAGAATGATATTTAAAAGTAAATGAAGGGCTGGGAAGGTGGCTCCGTGGTAGAGCGCTTGCCTTACATGCATGAAGCCCTGGGTTCGATTCCTCAGCACCACACAAGCAGAAAAAGGCAGAAGTGGTGCTGTGGCTCAAGTGATAGAGTGTTAGCCTTGAGCTGAAGAGCTGAGGGACAGCGCCCAGGCCCTGAATTCAGACCCACAACTGACAAAAAGAAAAAAAAAAGTAAATGAAGCTAAGAGCCAGTGGTTCATGCCTGTAATCCTAGCTACTCAGGAGGCTGAGATTCTGAGGATCACGGTTCAAAGCCAGCCTGGGCAGGAAAGTCCATGAGTCCCTCATCTCCAACAAACCACCAGAAAACCAGAAGTGTGCTGTGGCTCAAGTGGTAGAGCTCTACTCTTGAGCAAAAGAGCTCACAGACAGCACCCAGGCCCGGAGTTCAAACCCCACAATTGACATAAAAGGGAAAAAAAGTAAAAGAACATAAAGTCATGATACATTGTGTTAATTAAGTAAATAGAAAGGTTGTTCTGAGACCAGACAACAGGGTGATGATTGTGCTATGTGTGAAAACTCATCAGATCAGGGGCAGGACACTCGGAAACCAGTTCAGGTCCTGTTCGTGCTGTTGAGCATGAGCCTTTGATTAAGTCTCTGCATAAATGACTCTGACTCTTAAAATGCAGGTGTACCTGGGAACCAGTGCATCATACCTATAATCCTGGGTACCCTGGAGGCTGAGATCCAAGAATCACAGTTCAAAGCCAGCCACGGCAAGAAAGCCTATGAGACTCTTTCTTCAACCACTAAAAAGTTACAAGGGAGGTGTGGTTCAAGTGGTAGATGGACTCCCTTGAATAGAAAAAAAAAAAAAGCAAGAGCAGGAGGTCCAGGGTTTAAGCCCTGTTAAGAGCAGAAAACAAACAAAAGCACCAAAACAACAGCGTAAACGCAGATGTAGGGCCAAACGATCCAATCCAGGACACTTGACATACCCAAGTAAAGAGGTTTAGAGAAATGAATGTGATTGTAATTGAGCTTGGAGAATTTTCACATTTAATAACAGAAGCAGAAGGAAGAAAACCAGGGAAATACCAGAGGTGCTGGAGAAAGTTCTAGAAAAAGGGTTGACAGTTAGATTCTAAGGAAATGTGAGCAGGTAAGAGTTCAAGCTGGGCACTGTAATCCTAGCCACTCAGGAGGCCGAGATCTGAGATTCAGTGTGGAATCAACCCAGAGAAACAAACCTAAGCAAACTCTTCTCTCTAATTAGCCAGCAAAAAGCTGGATGTAAAGCTGTGGCTCAACTGGTAGAGTTCCAGCATTGGGTGTAAAAGCTAAGCAAGAAGACCCCAAGGTCCTGAGTTCAATCCCAGGTAACCAGCATAAGCAAACAAACAATCAAATCAGTGACACATTTTGGGATTGCTGACACAGAAGTGACTGCTGACGTTGAGAATCTCACCTAGATTTGTGTGTGTGGAAGGAGCTGGTGGTTCAAAGTTTACCAGAGGCCAACATGACAACTGAATTCACAAACCACCACCACAAAAATAAGCTACATTTAGCTTAAACTTCATGCGAGTCACAACCCCTTTGTCACAACAACTTCAATGGTTGTTGCTGCTGTTGTTGTTGTTGTTTTGTCTGTTGTAGGGCCTGAACTCTGGGTCTGGGCACAGTCCCTCAGTTCTTCAGCTCAAGGCTGGCACTCTACCACTTGAGCCACAGCGCCACTTCCAGCTTTTTCTGCTTAGGTGGTGCTGAGGAATCGAACCCAGGGCCTCATGCATGCAAGGCAAGCGCTCTACCACTGAGCCACCTGCCCAGCCCCGCTTTCTCTGATAGAGAAAGGCTGGCCATGTAGGAACTGTGGAAGTTTTTGGCCATCTCCCTTTCTGTGGCTTGCTGGAGTAGATCAGACTGTAGGACCGCTGGGTTCTCTGTTCTAGGCCAAAGGAAAGAGACCAAGTAGCTGGTCCTAGAGCCTAAATCCTTTGTCTGGTCCTTCTTAAGGATGACTTGCGTACAGTGTAGGCCATGGTGGTCTATATCCTCATCGATGGGGAGACAAGAGGCTGGTGCTCCCCCCCGCCCCACCCCGAGAAAGTCAGTACAATGGTAACCTTGCCTCCTTTGATCTCTTTTCAGATTGCCAGACAGCAGCAACAACTTCTGCAGCAGCAACACAAAATCAATTTGCTCCAGCAACAGATTCAGGTCAGAAACCCTCCTTCCGAGACCCTTCCAGCCCCTGCACACAACAGGTTGACTCATGATTTTAATCTGCTTCTCACTAAAACATGACCTAACTCCATTTTTGCATCCTGATGTGACCTGAACAAAACTGACCTCCAACCTGAACAATTCTTTCGGGGCCCCACTCATGAACTGTGTCCTTGGGTGCTGGGTGAACTTTACATATGGCTGCACTCCGGGCCAGGTCTGCCAGTGGTGGGGGTTCAGTCAAAGTGTGCAGCCAAGAACTTGAACCGCATTTGAGGAGAAATTACTGTAGAGAAATGATTCTTTTCCTCTAGGCGTTCATGTTGAAAAATATGTCTGTAAATGTTTTTATTAGGGTGGGTTGGAGTACCCAAACAGAAGTACAGGGGCAGAAAGAACTCTGTGTGTGTGTGTGTGTGTGTGTGTGTGTGTGCGCGCGCGCGCGTGCACGCACACGAGTGATTTTGTGTGTGTGTGTATGGGGATTCTGGAGCTTGAACTCTGGGTATAGGTACTGTCCCTGAGCGTGTGTGTGTGTGGGGGGGGGGATTCTGGAGCTTGAACTCAGGGCGTAGATACTGTCCCTGAGCTGCTTTTGCTCAACGTTTGCACTCTACCACTTGAACTGCAGCTCCACTTCCAGTTTGTTTGAAGTTTAATTGAAGCTTAGTCTCGTGGACTTTTCCTATCCACGGTTGGCTTCGAACCACAATCCTGAGATCTTAGCTTCCTGAGTAGTTAGGATTATAGGAGTGAACCACTGGCACCTGGCTTGAAAAACAAAACAAAACAAAACATTTTTTAAACTCTAAGTCCAAGAGACATGAATGAAAGTAGCTAACTAAGGCAATGGAACATCGTTGCGAAGTTCTAACCCAAAGCCTGTCATTCACTTAGCTGTAATTATGTAATTGCAAACTATACAGAGTACTTTTTGATTGTTGGTACCTGGGCTCGAATCTGGGCTTGGAGCTCACGTGGCTTGCGTATAGCTAAGCAGTCTATGATTTAAAACTCTTCCCTCATTTCCATGTTGCTGGTTTAGACCAAAGCACACATCCTCATTCTCAGTAACAGGTGCTTTGTGTCGAAACTGTTTTAAAATAATTCCAGCCATCAAGTGTTGAAATTATGGCAGCCTCTCACCGTCAGTGACAAGTACAATTCAGTGAAGGAACAAGAGTCTCAAACTTTCATGATTTCCAGGAGACAAAAGCAAGCTCTGTTGTTTAATAGAAGTTACACACACACAAAAATTCTGAAATCCTGTAAGTATGGGTAGAGTTCAGTAAATGGTTTATTTGATCCACTAGTTAGATGAGTCAACACACTGCTTTCTTTGGAGAATTATTCCACAACTGTAAACATTAGGCTCCCTAGTGGATTTTAAGGAGAAATCGTTTTCTTGCTGCAGAGAATGGAACATTCTCATCTCTTTGTCACAGCATTTTTGAGGTGAAAAATACTTTAGAAAAAAAGAAAAAGTGTTCCTTTTCCCAGACCTACTCTAGAAAGCTGAGATCTGAGAACCACCATTGATAGCCAGCTTGGGAAAGAAAGCCTCAATGATTCATTAGAAAGCCGGAAGTGGAGCTGCAACTCTGGGAACAGCACCTAGGCCCCGAGTTCAAGCCCCGTGACCAGGCCCAGATGTACATAAATGAATAATTAAAAATTTAAAAAGTAATCCTTCCTAGGAACGGTATGACTATAGGAAACCATAGTTTTCCATGGAACTAATACCTTGACCCCAAATCATACCAGTGGTTCACAGATACAAGCAGGATTCAAAGGCAAAGTTTTCTCACTGTTTATAAAAAAAATTGTTAGGATGAGAGTTGTAACAGCTTAGAATTTCTGTTTGACAACCATGTGGAGGTGTGGTCTCCACTCATTTACGGAGTTAAACAAAACATGGCCCCCTACGGGAAGGAACATCACACTGAAAATGGTGTATCACCCATGTCGAATGCCATGCATGTTGAATGCCATACATGTTTTGTATCATACATTTTGGGGGCAGTCTTATAATCATTTAATGTTCGTGAAAGGCATAATGTATTTGAGTTATTTACTCTGCTTAGAGGTGGTTAACACAATTATGGTGAGCATAATGGACCAGTGTGTGTAAAAACCTGACATGTGAAGTGTGGTAAGAACAGACTCATTTTCTCGCATAAATCCTATCGCATTTCTTTTTAAAATGCTTTCCCTGCCCTTTTGTAACTTTCCCTCATTTCTTCTTCTCCCTTGCAAATATGGGACAAGGAGGGAGAAGAAGACCAGGGCCTTCTAGGTTTAGAAAGTCAAATCTAGAACGTGTAATCTTTTGATGGTATTGGGGTTTGAACTCAGGACCTTGCGCTTGTGAATAAATAGGTGCTCTACTACTCCAGCCATGCCTTCAGCTGCTTTTACTTTTGCTGTTTTTCCATTAGTTTCCCTCCCCAACACCCCGGACTTCTATTTATGTTTCCCAGGTAGCTGGGATGAAAGGGACATGCTACCATGCTTGGTTTTTTTAACTGGTTGAGATGGTGTCTCTTGAGTTATTCCTGTCCCACAGGCTTGTCTCCAACCATAATCCTCTTGATCTCTGCCTCCTGAGTAGCTAGGATTCCGAGCATGAGTTATCCTACCCATCTTCATTATACTTTTTGTTTTAAGAAAAAAAGAATGTACAACCAAATCCCTACAGAAAAATGTCCCATAGATTACATTCTGTTGGCTATTTGAAAATACTTGGGCTGTATTCTGAGGTATTTCTACTTAAAAAAAATTACACAATTACGCAGTCTAAACGCCTTGTAGAAATAAATATATTAGCTTACATCATTTATTATGACTCTATTTCCTTCGCTATTTTATACTAGTGTGAGTTGCTCAGACCTCAGAAAACAGACCAGTGCGAATTCTGTGTTGACGGAACTTTGAACGACAGCGTTAGATACTCCAGCGTTAAACGGTCTCATAATTGTTTTCATTATAACTATAAATGACTTGAACTTGATCTTACGTATCAGGCAAAACAAATAACACCTTTACCTGGATTAGACAGGTCTGCCCTGTGGGTTCTCCTTGACTCATCAAGAACTAGAAAAGGATAATTGTCACACACGAGTTGATATGTTATGTGGCAGGAAGGATATTTCTTACTCCTTTTAGTGGGATCCCTCTAAAGGAGAACAGGTTTCGATGTCTTCCCTTCCATTGGAAAGAACATACTTAAAAATGTACAATCAGTCTCGGCGCATTTTTATCTGTATGCAGCCAAGCTGATCTCCTAGAATCTATAAACCAGGTTCTTTAAAATTTCTCTTGACCTGTTCATTCTAATTCTACCTTCTCAACTCTCAACCTGGATAGGAAAGGGTAGCTTGCTTGAACTTTTGAGCAGTTTATTCAGAGAAAAATGCCATGAGATTCTACATGTGAATTAATTTCATTAAATTACTGAGGAGGAGTTCCTTATGAACTGTATTTTTTTCTTAAAAAAAAAAAGTAACCTTAGCTCTAAAAACAGTGTCATTCCAATTGGAATGAAAATTTAGTCGGCATCTTTTCCCTCTTAGAGATTTTATGGCGTTATACCATTTTCTGCCAGCTGATTCACACAACTCATTAGCATGAGAAGTTTTATTAAAGTTTTCTGTTATTCTTTGCAGTACCACAATTTAGTTCTCCGTACAAATAAAATCATGTTAGCATCCCAGAAATATTCTTCTTTCCTCAACAATGTCCAATTTTCTTTATGAGACTTGAGGAGCACCCACAGATTTCCTGTTCTACTATTGTATGCAGTATTTCCTTCTAACGTGTCTGCTTAATAGCCTTAAATGACAGTACGTGTTTTATTTTCATTTGCTGTTTATTTCCTTATTTATTTATGTTCCTACTCGGGTTTAAACTCAAAGCCTTGACTGTTGCTTAGTGTTTGGGCGCATGGCTAGCGCTCTACCACTTGGGCCACAGGTCCACTTTGCTCCTTGTTTTTGGCTAGTCAGCTGGAAATAAGAGTCTTGTAGATTTGTCTATCAGGGCCAGCTTCAAAGTGAGCTTGTCAGATCTCAGCCTCGGGAGTAGCTGGGATTACAGTTGTAAGCCGCCAGTGTCTGACTCTAGCTAACTTTTTCCCATTATTACATGGAACTTGTACAGATGTCAGAAAACCTTTCAAGACCTTCTCTCTTTCCAGATCAATGTGGTTCTTAATGGGGAAAGGGAAGGACCCGTTCTTTCTCTTACTCCACTGACTCCACAGTTTAACCACTTTATTTCCCAGTTTCCTTTGTTTTTCATAAACTGTATTGTTATTATGAAGGTGTGGTGGGAGAGGGCTTACCATTTCACAAGTCATCTCTTTGGACACGTGACCTCTTCCTTCACGTTTCCCCAGTTCACCCCTCCTATCCCTGTCCACAAGTTTCACAGTTCATTTCCCCCACACTGAGTGCCACATTTGCCTTGGTTCACCCTTCCTCCCGGCTTTTCTGTGCTCCTTCCTTTCCTCCCCTCAATAGACAGCACAAACAACAACAGCAGCAAAAACACCACCACCACCACCACCACCAGCACCACCACCACCACCACCACCACCACCCACCACCACCACCACCACCAAAAACCTTGTTTCTATTTCCTGGAATTTGTTTTGAAAAATAGCAGTTGAAGCATTTGTTTTTACAGTAAGTCATGTTGGTGGTGAGTTGGTTTGCATTTCAAATCATGAACCAGGACTCGAGGTTCATCTTGGCTCACTGTTAGGAAGCCCTTTCTGAGTAACTGAAGAATGATCTCTCAGCCTTCACGGTGACCCCACGTGGAGTATTTCCTGGGGCCCAAGTTCTTCTTATTTTTGGAGCTTCCAAGGAGACGAGAGTTTCCATAGTTTTAGGTGTGTGTGTGTGTGTGTGTGTGTGTGTGTGTGTGTGTGTTATAACCGTATCACACACATGTTTTTTACCCTATGTTCTTTACCCTTCTGCTGGATAAAC